AGAAATGGGTGAAAGCTGTCTACGCTTAAGAGTGGTTGCAGATTTAATGGAGATTCGGGCGCTACTGGAAATGGAGATTCAGACTCTACTGGGAACTGATCTTCGTCTTTCCGTCTGTAAAATGTATCCAAGAACGGAGTCCAATGGGATATTTTCGACATTTTAAGAGTCAAAGTCGTACTGGGGAAATTCTGGGACCCACTTTTCTTAGTTTCACGGCCTTTAAAGGGGATTTTTCTTTTTACAATATTGATAGATGTAAGGTATTAATACAGAATAAATATGTATACGGGCATACCCACATTTTCTATAAATACCCATTAAACAAAACGAAAAAAAAAGCAGCGAAAATTTCAGCATATTGTCGTGCGGATTTCAAACGAAAATGTATTTTGTTCCAAGGAATGGGTTTCTTTTTTTTTGTGCCAGCCAGCGAAATGCGGAACAGGGGGAAGGACAAACAGGCGAAAGCAATTTGCCAAAAGCAACAATGACAACTGGCTGACATTTGAATTATGCTGATACATCGGATGGCAGTACGCGTACGCGTATTCCAAGGTCGCCAGGTGGGAACTCGGGAACTCCCTTTCCCTCCGGAGAAGCGACCACCTGGGCGTATGAGTAATGTATTGTCATACAACAGGTTGAAAAGTGAGAGTATGAGACAAATTCCCTGTGACGGGGCAAGTCCCAGAGATACTCTCCCTTCGCTCTCAATTTCCCCCGTCTAATTACATCGAACAAAACTGTTTTTCGACGCAAAAAGAGAAACTTCTGTTTCCCGAGCGGAAGAAGAAAAACGAAAAGAACAACAACAAAAGGGAGAGGCAAAAAAAAAACTTTCGACAGGATATTTGTTGGGAAGTCAAAAGGACTTCTTCTACTTCTGACATCCTGACACAAATATTTGTGGCAAACTCTTGTATCAAAAATTTATTTATGTATGTTTGTGTGATGGGATGGGCGTTTGGCCCTCTGGCTACCCCCCTACGCTTCTGTTGCCATCTATTACACTCATGACTGGCAGGTTTTTCTCCTCATAGAAAAGCGTGCGTGTGTGGCTGTGTCGTTGTATGTTTAAGTGGCATCAACATCAAGTCATCGTCGTGACCCATTCAGAGAGGTTGAAGCAAGGACCCAAAGCCCCCCTCACCACCTCCTCTGGGACCTAATGCATTTTCTTGGCCTTGGCCCCTGGTTGATGCCACACAACACACACGTTGCCTGCATGCATATGTATATGCGTTGCATCCTCAGTGATAATGAGACTTGCTGCTTGCTCCACAAAATTTAATCTTTTTGTTTTTCCTGCGGAATCTCTGAAAGGAAGGAAAGGAATCTCCTCAATAGGGTAGTTTTTACTCCATTAAATTCCACTGCTTTAAGCTACTCTTGCAGATTGATACGAGTAGTAATGGAAAGGCAAAACGCTTTCCACTTGGCTAACGAAAACACTTTATTTAGCTAAATTTGATCAACTTTTGGCTGGCTGGGGAAAAACTCTTGCCCCTCCCTCAAACCTCAAACCCCAACAGCAGCCAACTGCCTCCGACTCCATGGACCACAACTCCATCTTCCAGCTGTCCATCTTCTCAGTGGTAAGGCGGGAGACAGCTGGCTTCCGAAAGGAAGGGACGAGCTGCTGCTGCTGCTTTCCCCCTTTCCCAGAGACAAGAGATTTTTCACTTACACTTTCACTGCAGAGCGAGGGGAACCCTCACACTTATTCAACAATCCTTGAGTCGTACTACACTGCGTGAAACGGCGAGAAAGGGAGTGTCCAAATGTACTTTTATTTTCCCGAGTGCGAGAAGTACAAGAAAAAGATGGGGGAAAAATCCAGGCACAAAACAAACACAAAACGTAAATAAATAAACAGGGTAGCAGGGCAAACAGAGTGCTGCAGTAGGAAGGAGAGAGAGGTATCAGGCGTAGATCAGGGTAGAGGCAGAGTAACAGGTTAGAATGGTAGCACAAGCAGGAGAACAATCAATCAATAATCAATATCGTAAGTAAATATTAACTTTTTGAAAAACTGCAAACAGAAGAAAGTAGCCCGGAAGAGGCAACCACCGTGGCGGGGTGGGTGGCTACACACTCATAAATCTCCTCCAGGAATCAGTCGGTGCCTCGTTTTTTTTTTTTCATTTCCGTTGGTCCCTGGTCCCTGGTCCCTGTCTTTCACACAAAGTCCAGGCAGCCCGGGGATGCTGCTTGCTGCTGGCGATTCCACGTATCTGACGCTGGCTGTGGTTCGCTTCGTTCTGTGGCGTATGGCTGTTCGTTCCTTCTTCGCGTCTATCGCTATCTTTTCTCTGTTTTTCCCTGTCTGTCGGTGTGGCGCCTGCCCCTGCCTTACTCTCTGCCTCGTTTCTGCTGAACTGTGCATACATTCATTCGCGCGGTGGACAATATGGCCGTCACATCAGCGGGTTCTCGTCATCAGACGCCAGAAGGGGTGTGTGGGCGGTTCTTATCATCCTCCCCGACCTCCTTATTGCCTCCCCATAGACCACAGCAGCACACAGCCTCCTGCTGTATGCGGAAATCAGTTTTGATTTGAATTCTCACTCTTCGGTTGGTTTTCAGCTGTATTCACCTGCTTTCCACCTGTGTGTGTTTCCCTGAAATGATGCGACCCCCTGCTTTTTGTGTGGTCACTGAAGTGTAGGCTGTGAAAATGTATGCCGGAAAATTGTATTCAAGTCTTTACTTATCCATTAGATGGCTTTTCATGCGCAAAATTGAGTTCTTGCCGAAACTGGCTGTTTGATTGTTACTATGGGTCTCTATTTCCCTACCTCCCTCTCCATCTCTCTCACTCTCTCTCTCTTTCTTCTGTCGCCAGCTCTGTGGCAATCTGTTTAAGCTGTCATCAGAGATTGAAGCCACAAAATGTGGCATTGGTATAATGTATCCTTTTAGTCGTTTGGTTGTGTGAAAATTATATAGCATACATTTGCGGGCGAAACGTCAAACTGCCATTCATTCATTTCATTCATTCATTCATTTATTCATTAATCATTTCAGTTGTCATCTTTCCCTCTCTCTCCTTCTCTCTAGAAAAAAAAAGTGAAAGAGAGAGAGAGAAAGGGAGAAACACTCATAGAAAGTGAGAGAGAGAGATATAATACAATTAAAACGTAAATGATTTCCGATTTCCCCGTTGATTGCCACAAAACGACGAGTAGAGTCTCGTGTCAGTCGCATTCCCATTCTTTTGTTACTTTATCTGTGTTTGTATCGCATTAAATGTACCCTCAATTGTTGTGTTTATTGTTCTGTTATGAAATACGACAGAGAAAGAGAGAGAGAGAGAGACAGAGATGTATGGCGGCAATTAATTTATATAATCGAATTATGGTTAAACGTACCCGGCAACAGTAACAGGTTTTAATTAATATTTGGCCATTGCTGCTGATTCTGCTGCTGCTGCTGTTTCTGCTTCTGCCATTTGTTTTATGTATCATTTTTATATAGAAATAATTAAGAGAAAAAGAGAGTGCGAATCATTCCATCCATTCATCTGTCAAAGCAGCTGTTCCATCAATCAATTAATTTCTGCGTTTTCTTCTTTCAAATACATAATTAATTGCCGTATTCCAATCGATTTTCAACCCACATATATTCCTCCCACCTCTATAAGGTACCGTCTTCTGCTCTTACCTCTTGTAAGTACTTCCAGCAGTTACCCAACTAATTTCCATATTAAATACAAATTGAATTTCCCCCTAATTTCCACTCGTTTACTCCCCCGCATTTTCGCTTTGCTAAATTTCATTTAATTTGCTAAAACGGGCCCCGAAGCTGATGCCCCGCGAAAGATACTCATTTAAAACGTTTGCCTCATTTACATCCCAGAAAACCAAAAAAAAAAAAACCATGAAAATGAAGCAACGGGAAAGCAGGGAAATTTGCAAATCAAATTACGTGCAAGGGTTTCGCGACGCGTCGCTTCCTTCGACACACACACACACAGACACACAAACCCACACACACACACATTGGCAAAAGGCATTTGTTCTCCAATTCTCTACTTCATTTATTTATCTCTCCCTCTCACTCGCCCTTTCCCACTCTCTATCTGGCTTTCCAGTGGCTGGCTCTGAAGCGTCTTCGGTATCGTGCCACATCGTATGCATATTTAAGCAGTGTGTTGGCTTTGCGGTTTTTGCGCCTCATGGAACGTGTTAATTGCAGCCACATTCTGTGTCTTCAGCGGCTGCCGCTGCTAGCGGCTATCCTTTCGACTCCTGCTACTGCTGCTCCTCTTGACTCCTACTTCTCCACTGTCTCCTCTTGCCATCTGCCACTTGCAGCCTGTCTAACAAATGCAATTAAAATCTTTGCGCAAAGAAGAAATTGTTGCAACCACAACCGACAGACGGACGGACGGACGAACGAACGGACAAAAGAACGGACAGAGAGGCCAGAGATACGGTGGAATACCAGTTAGAGAATTAGAGAAAGAGAAAGGCGATAGACGGTCAAAGAAGAGCAAACAGATGAAGAGACAGAGGCAGCAGCAGCAGCAACAGCCACAGCAGCACACATGACAGATAACATATTGCAACACGCCCGCGACCAGAGCTCCTGCGACCACAAGAGCGAGAGAAATATGGGTTGGACAAAGCGAAATATACAAAACAAAAAGAAAAAACGTAGAGATTTCCATTCAAAAAAAAAAAAACAGCAGGGAAGAACGGAGAGAGCATTTATCTACGTTCTGTGTGCTTAGGTCACGCTTCCCAGCTTCAGAGCTTCAGAGAGCTACAGAGCCAGCAAAACGAATCTAATTTGCAGCGCCACGAAGGCACTAAAAATGGCCCCTAGATACATTTTAGATTCCAGTCCAGCATCCAGTGCTGCGAGTAATGTCCGTCTGTCTGTCAGCTGTGGTCGTGTGGTTCTCCTCCTCTTTCCCTACCGCCACTCTGCTATGATGAGGGCGCCTCTAGATCTATCTGTGGGGCTAATTCAGTTTATTCATCAGTGTCATGTTGGGGCATTATGTGTGGCAGGGTGAGGCATTGGGTTTTGTTTCCTACTCTTACTCATATGACGGTATTTTTCGATTAATTATTCATGAAAATGTCCTATTTTGAGCAACTTTCTCAGGCATAACTTCAAGTTTTTATGAGTTTCTGTTTGGATTATTTATTATTTATTTGTATTGCTATTTTTGGAGGCATTTTTAGAGCAAGGAGCTCTTCTAGAGCTGCTGCAACTGCATCTATTTTCGGTATCTGATGAGTTATTCAATGTAAAAAGGGAATACTTACAGAAACTATTTTCAATCAGAAGTTTTTACAGCGTAACAAGCGCCTAAATGATAGACAGAAAATGGTTGCAAGACTTTCACACATATATATTTGCTTCTTTTGTACAAGTTCTTTACTGATCAACCCCCTTAAAGGGGTACCCAAACAGTCCATAGTCCAGTTGCAGGCACATTAATGGCCCCTGCCACTCTCCCCTGTTGCTGCTAATTAAGTTGCAACAGCAGCAGCAGGCGCTGAAATTTGAGTGGAGAGAAGAAAACTGAAAAAAAAAAAAGGGAATCCCTGTGGCAGGATGCGGATGTGGAATGAGTGATTGAAAGGCAGCAGTAGCAGGAGCAGCTTCGCTAATCGGCTTAGGGGCAAGCAAGCAGCTGCAGCAGGAGCACCAGTTTGCAACAAGGGGCATGGCACAGCTTGTTGCACCGTTTGGGCATGCTATTTAATCACTTTAAAGTTGATTGTAGTGGGCCCCCCGGCGGGGCAACAAATTACAACTCGCATTAATTATACGTCGTGTTGCACAGAATATATAATTGTCTCCTCCCCGCCCTCTCTCTTATTTACGCTCCGTCTCTCTCGCTCTTTCTCGTTGCAGGACACACCCCTCCACACGCCACGCCGCTCTGCATAGTTTTGCCCGTTAATTAATTGTTAATGCAGCATTTTCTATGCATCGTCCGCGCTGCTGCTGTCCTTGGCAGCCCCATGATGCCCCACCATGCCACATGCAACAGCAACGAATGCATTGAGTGACAGCCAGAAATCATCACAATAGACATACAACAACAACAACAACAACAAAACAATAATTGCAACAAAATCTGAGGCAACAACAACTGGAACCATGTCGAGTGGCAACAATGAAACAGCGCCGCTCTACTGCGGCAGCGGCATGGATAATTTCCACACAAGGTAAGCCAGCAAAAACGACGACGACGATGGTAACGAAGACCGGGATGGCAGCGCCCGTGTTGCCTCTGGGGGCAATGTCAAAGTCAATGCCAGCAGGGAAATATACTCCACCAACACACCGCGTGCAGGGGGAGGCAAGCGCAAGCACCAATCAGGGACACAACAAGCTGAACTACAGCAGAACGGCAGTACGGAAAAGGAATTGAGAGGCTTTGGATTTACCCTTTTGTGGTCCATCACTTCCATTTCCACTCCTGCAAAAGTTATATGAAATTTTGGTTTTCATAGTGAATGAAAAAATCCAGAGAACATTTGCAGAAATTCACGTTGAGAATTTAATAAAGAGAATGGGAATCATAAAGTTTGGTAAATTCTAAGCTTTCATCGAAATTCATAGAATTTTACGCTAAAAGAACTTGTGTTCGGGTTTTTGTGACTTTTTTTTTTGGTACAATATTATCGAAAGAGAGCAGAGTTTCTCATACAATATAAAAAGCAAGTACAGAAAAGAAAAATAGTCAATAGGAGAGTCATAAGAAGGAGTATCTATAATATGGAGAGTGGAATTAGAATCATCAATAAATAAGAAAATAGAAGAGTAATTCCCCCATCTCTCCTTGTATTTCCTTCAACAAAATTCTCGTTTTCTTAAGCTCCAAACATTTGTTAAAAATCATCATATCCATCAATCAATCATCTTCTATAGGGTACAAACAATAGCATTAGCTTCCCTCTCTCTGGGAACGATGACAACAATGTGGAACAAATCGTTCAGAAATCGATTAGCACTTCTCCTCGATGCGGTACTGGACAGGGACAGGGACAGGGACAGCAGGAGGAAGCGCTTCAATTTTGATTTCGACGTTTAATTTTCTTATTCGGACGATTAACTGAAAAGGGAATACAAATACAAAAAAAAATGCACAAAACAGATTTGACAACAGGCAAGGTCAAGGGCGGCAACAACAACAATGGCAGTTTAATGAACGAGAAATCAATTTAATTGATAAGCAATTTCCTTCAAGTAATTTCGAAATGTCCGAAATGTCCACTGGAATGTCTGCTGCACCCATAAAAAAAATAAATAGCAACTAAAACATTCAGAATTTATGGCACTGCCGCATGGCAGAAGCTCGTAAAATGGAGAGAGAGAGGGAGAGGAGCATTAAAGAAGCTTTATTAAGGAATACGCAAGTAGAACAAACCTGCCCAGAAATTGCATATATCCCTTGAACCCTTGAAGCTAATAAATCCCTGGTTCTTCATGCATTCTTTTACCATTTGGGGGATAAGCTTTCACTTTCAGTTTATTCATTCTTTGGTTACAGCAATGTTGCACCTTTCTCTGCTCCTGCAATGCTTTTAGTTTTAATTAGAGATCCAATGTCTGCGCCCCACCAATGTTAATGGCCACAAAGTGGCTTGCCACAGCATCACATCCCAATGCCCATTCCACCCTTGAATGCGGTTTCTATATAATTAAGAGATGTCTGTGTTGCCAGAGAATGTGGGGGGAGAGATGTCGTATTTCTCTCTGGTTCTGGTAGCAAACAATTAGATGTGTATCCAACACTTGGACGAGGGATTTACTTTGTTCGTGTCAAAGACGTGCCAAATTGCTAGCGACGGATCCCACCACTGTCACGCCCCAGACAGACATACAGCCAGACAGCCAGACAGACACACACACACACACACAGCCTCCTACAGAGACGTCTCACCTAAAATGCGTCTCCAAGCGACACTCAAGCGGCACAAACGCACAAAAAAAAATAAAATACAACAAGTCAAACGGCAGTCAAAGGAGAGTCACACATCGAAAGCCTTGACGATGTGGAGTCAGAGGTCAGGTGGAGCGTCAAGAGCAACCCGTTCTCCATTCAATTGATGGCTGACGTGACGTATACGCAATCTACAAAGAGGAGCCATCAAAATGTGGTCTTTCTTCCACAGAAAAAAAAAAAAATAAGGAAAAAAACCGCAAGAAAACACGCACAAAACAAGCAATTAACATAAATAATAAAGAACAGAGCCGATGGCAGCAGACCGACCTTTTGTTGCAAATAAAGAAACCCAAAAAAAAAACCGAAGAAAAAAAAAACCCAAAACAACAAACCAAAAAATGTGAAAAATGTTTAATTTTCCAAATGCGTCTCTCGCTTTCACTCTTTCGCCCCTATGCGCAGGAGTAGGAGGAGGAGCAGGAGTATTCCCTAAACAATAAAACAAAATACATTTTCCACCGTCGTAGTCGTTGTCGTCTGACATGTGTGGCATGCGGCATAGAACGGCTTCGCTTACAGAGAGAACCCTGATGGACAGAAACGGTTGCCACCAACGAGAGGCTGTTGCAGGCTGTCAAAGGTGCTGGCTAGAAGGTTGCAAAGGTGGCACAAAAGGCCTACGTGAGTCATGGCGACATTGAAACAACTTTTGACAGCCACCAAAGTATTCAGGGGGCGCGGGGGAGGCAGTCGCAAAACCCTCGTCTCGTCTCGATTCGTTTTGTGTCGTTCGTTTTTATTTTGTTGAGGGCACAACACCACTCATTGGGAATTTACAACTCCATTCATCAAATTCACAAGAAAACTTCTGACGCTGCAAGAAGCACAAACATTCCCGTGTTTTTCCCTACAGCTTCTCCTCCTCATCCTGCTGCTGCTGCTGCTGCTGCAAGGGAGAAGAGTACTCTCTCTCTCTCTTTTTCTCTCTCACTGAGAATGTGTGTCTTGGCTTCGTCTAATTTATTGCCTTTGATAATCCATGTTGATGAATGGCGGGCAATGGCAACGACAACGACAACGGCGACAACAGCGAATGAAGTCCTGGAATCCTGGAATTGTGTATATGCGAAGAAATTGTTGAAAGCAGGGACAGGATTGCAAGTTATTGGCCTAGAAATAAAGCAAAGTCAGGGAAAAGCATTCGACGCAGCTTTTGATGCCCTTTTCAGAGCAGAAGTTCTGCCTTCAAGTTTCGACCACCCGTTTGGTACCCTCTACTGAAGTTTATGTACTCGAATGGTGCCATAGTTCAATCACAAACAAGCAGCACAGTAAACATCGTAGTGCCAGAAGCAAACATAAATATATTTACGTCGGTAGATTCCCGCAGTTTGTGGAATAGTTTTCTCTGCCGCTGCACAAACACGTAAATTCTCTGGGAACAATGGAGAAAAATCTCTCTCAACATCTTTTTCCATCTATGCGCTCTTCAATTTATAGAGTCCTCGCGAACAAATTAAAATGCACTGGCCAATATTTCCCTTGGGAAGTTTGTGGACCTCCCCTGCAGTTTTTCGATTTTAGAATGGAAGGCAGTTTTTCTGGTTTGAATTTTATTCGTTTAGGGTGGGGCATGGACTTGACATTTAGTTTTTCTGGTTTCTCTGGTTTTCTCTGAAATGAAGAGTGAAAGGAGGGGAGCATTTTCGCACGTAAAGCAATAAACTATTTAACTAAAGTCCTGACAGGAGATACGGAGAGCACAGAAGACACAGGACACACCTGCAGCAGCAGCAGCAGAGACAGGACACAGCTGTCACTCACTCAGTCTCACTCACTCTCGGAGAGTGTGACTGCCACATTGGGGCGGGGCAGGGGCAAGTTTATTAAACATTTTTGTGGCTTATTCCCCAAAGTTAAATGCAGAATGGCAGGAGGCTGCTGCACCGTTTGCTGCACCGTTTCAGCGCAATGTGTGTGGGGCTGGCTTTGGCTTTGGATTTTCATAATAAATTTTATTCTAAGTCTAATTTGTGCATGCAACTGCAGCGGGGGATCCTCGTGCCTCGTGGCTTGTGGCAACAGCAGCAGGAAAGCCAACAACAATAAAAGGGATAAAGTGTGGCGTTGGCTGTGGCTGTGGCTCTGAAGGGGCAAAGAGCAAATGTCCCAAAATTAAAGCGTCAAACGTTTATTTTTCCGTGGGTTTCTATTAAATTTTCTTTATTTCTTAACAGTTTATATTTGGGACTTTATTATTTATTTATATAAATTTAGATAATTATTTTAGTTTATTTAGTATTAAGTTAAGTTTTATTATTTTCTTTTTTTGTACTTTGTTGGTGGTTCGTTTGGTATTTTCTATAATTTAGTTTAGTAATATTTCTAATATTTAGTTTATTATTCGTAGTAATATTTCTTGGTATTTTTTTTAAATTTATTTTGTAGTTTAGTATTATTTTTAAGTATTTTCTAGTATTTGCACTTTCTCTGCTCACACATTTTTTGGCTCACCCGAAAAACTTGTGAGCCTCAGCTTTGAGCTGTTTGGTGTTTGCCACATTCGTCCTTTCTGTTTTCTCTAGGTTTTTTTTGCCCTCAAAGAGAGAACGATAGAGAGAGAGAGAGAGTGAGCAGGGAAGCCAGAGCCAGAAGCAAAAAATGTTTATCCCCAGCGTAGGCAGACAGCCGCCCCGCCCCCTCCTCCGTTGGGGAAGAACGGAATAAGCCAGAGCCTTGGGCTTTAGCCACTTTATTGCCTGTCGACTGTTGAGCCTTCGCCGCCTACCGCTCTACGACGGCTGTTCCCGCGCCTGGTGGGGAAATTCTCTTACGGAAATGTGGGATATTTTGGATGGTTTTATTGCTGGGATCTGGAGCACAAAAGTTACGGCTAACTGGAGCATAATAACTCGAATATAATTTGGATTACTTTCCCCGTTTTTCTTCTCTCTTCCGCAGCTACAAGAACATGCATGGCTATGTCTCCCTGGTGGTGTGCATCCTGGGAACGATAGCGAATACTCTCAACATTATTGTGCTCACCCGCAAGGAGATGCGCTCCCCAACGAATGCGATACTCACGGGTCTCGCCGTGGCAGATCTCGCCGTGATGCTCGAGTACATACCCTACACGATCCATGACTATATCCTGACGGACAGCCTGCCGCGGGAGCAGAAGCTGAGCTATGGCTGGGCCTGCTTCATCAATTTCCATTCGATATTTGCCCAGGTGCTGCACACCATCTCCATTTGGCTGACGGTCACGCTGGCCGTGTGGCGCTATATAGCGGTGGGATATCCCCAAAAAAATCGCGTGTGGTGTGGCATGCGGACCACCATCATTACGATCTTCACGGCCTATGTGGTGTGTGTGTTGGTCGTCTCACCGTCGCTGTATCTCATTACGGCCATTACCGAGTGGATGGATCAGTTGGATGCGATGGGAAAGGTCATCAATTCGATACCCTTGACGCAGTACGTGATCGACTATCGGAATGAAATGTTGAGCGTGAAAGTCGCAGCATTGAATGCCACTCCACAGAGCCTGAATCTCAATGAAACTTTGTGGTTTAATGCCACAGGGACAGCGACGACATCGACTCCTCCGCCTGCTCCCCCGTTGGCACCACCTGCTCCTTTGGTGGTGCGAAATGTCACCGTCTATCGGCTGTACCACAGCGATCTGGCGCTGCACAATGCCTCCCTGCAGAATGCCACCTTTCTGATTTACAGCGTGGTCATCAAATTGATACCCTGCATTGCACTGACGATTCTCTCGGTGCGTCTGATCCTGGCCCTCCTAGAGGCCAAGCAGCGCCGGAAGAAGCTCACCAGCAAACCCCCCACACCCGCAGTGGCGGCAGCTAGCAATGGAAATGGCAGTGGAAAACCTTTGGTGAATGGAAAGCCCGCGGAACGACCGCGCAAGAATAGCAAACTCCTGGAGAAAGAGAAGCAAACGGATCGCACCACTCGCATGCTGCTGGCGGTGCTGTTACTCTTTTTGATTACCGAATTTCCACAGGGTATCATGGGTCTGATGAATGCCCTGCTGGGGGATGCCTTCTTCCTGCAGTGCTATCTGAGATTAAGTAAGTTTTTCCTTCCTTTAGGGGTTTCTCCGCTAATTATAAATATTTTCCTTTGTTTTCCTACCTTTCTGCAGGTGATTTAATGGACATTTTGGCCCTAATTAACTCCAGCATCAACTTCATTCTCTATTGCTCGATGAGCAAACAGTTCCGTACGACCTTTACCCTGCTTTTCCGCCCAAAATTCCTCGACAATTGGCTGCCAGTGGCACAGGATGAGGTGGCCGCCACACGGGCGGAACGTTCGGCAGTGGCTCCGGCTTTACAGCAGCGGCAAATTGTTACTGCCGGTGCCACCACCACCACGAGCACCACTCAAGTGACGAATCTGTAGCATAGAAATCCCAGCCGAATGTTGGGTCGTCTGTTGAGTCTCCTGAAGCGACGGAGAGACGCGGCAGAAGGTGGATTCCATACAGAAAGAGATGCGGTAGCAGAAAGAGAATCCCTAGGGGGACTGGAGACAGATCCCATGGCGCTACAGTTCCATGCAATTGTCGTTGTGGTGGACAAGGCGAGTGGTGCCACGGATCATCGTTTATGCACCACTGACGAGGCCCCCAAACTGTGAGGTACAACTAGATAGAATCTAGATGATGGTTTTCCCTAGTAATTTTGTGTAAAATAGATAAGATTTCTCTCTAGTTTCCGTCTAAAAATAAACCCATTTATTAGGCAACATTAGCAAGAAAAAGCTAAACACAAAGCATCTGCATACTTTTTTCAGGAGTTACGAGGAGACCCTTGGAAAATTATAAAACTGTAATAAAATGCAACAGAAATCGCTCATGCACATCGCTGGCTCCATGAACATCCGGAATGAAAGTGTTTTGGCCATAAATCAAATTTGGGAAATTGCTTAGCTGCATTTTCATGCAAGCTTTTCATAGTTTTCCCACTCAACTATCCATCAAAAAGTATGCAAAATGCAATATGTGTGTGCTCTACAGAACTACGAATTTTTTTTGGCAACAATTTCAATGGAATACAAAAAAAAAATGAAGAGATGAGAACGGAATAAATGTCTGATATATTTCATAGATACGCATACGGATATACGGGATAAATTTTCGTGTGTGTTGTAGCTTTAGTTTTGAGCGAATTTTCATGGTACAATTATTGCTTGCGGACGGGTTTAAGAGTTCTTTAAACGAAAGAGTTCTTTATTTAGGAGCAGAGGCTGTGAAACGTTAAATAAATAGGTTTCCTTTTACTCTAACGATATGGGAAAACCATGGCGGAAAAATTGGTTTTCTTTTGGTGGTAAAATTTATGCGAAAGTATGCGGATTTTTTTCACATTTTTGTCGTTTTTTTAGATTTAATTTTTGCAAGAAAAACTGTCGTTTGATTTGGGTTGCAACATTTTTGCCCTAAATTAAAGGCATTAAATGGAAATCTCCTCTCCCATCAAATGACACGCATAAATAATGATTGATGATTGAAGTATTTGTGCAGCAAAATGAGCCCCTGACAAATATTTCGTATCCAATCGCTTGAATAAATTGAATAAATAAATAAATCAAAACACCACAAAAAAGAATTACATGACAAAAATAAACAGAAAATAAATCAAGAAAAAAACAAGTAAAAAACAATTTAATAAAATATTGATGTTAATTGATGGGACAGAAAGAGATGGCCAGATAAAGCGAGAGAGAAAGTGTGCATGCCATATAATTAGCACTAAAATTCATATAAATATAGAAATTAAATTACATTCATAATGTTGCCACAGTGCTTGCTAAAAGTAAGCATACTCGTACATGTTAAATAAATATTAATATTAATTTGTTGTTTGTTATATGAGTAAAAAATTTTATAATTAAGTGTGATTTAAACTACTAAAATAGAAAAACAAACGAATCTTAATTAAGTTTTTCTACGCATAAAATTGGCAGTAGCCGAAAAAGCTACAAGTCATATATGAAATGCTCCTCTTTGGCGCAGTATGAACGAAGGTTTTTAGTGTTTAGACAAATTAAAAACTAAATATTAAATATAATTAAATTAAACAGCAGTCGGAAAATGTGTTTCATTTGAGGGAAAACATGGAAAGGGCTGCTCTGCCCTGCACATAATTTCAGGCAAGTTTTTCCAATTATTTTTCATTTAAGCAGAGAATGAAAAGCCAGCAGCCAATAGAAACACACAACTTTATGGGGAGCCAACATATTTGAACAGAAAAGTTTAATTTGCATTAGCCAAAAAAAAAACAAAAAAAAAAAAAACAGAAAATATGGCATGGAAAACCGCAGTGGGAAAAGTTCAGGCAGAGAGTAAGGGAAAGAGAGCGAGAGAGAGCGAGAGAGTGGAATGGAATTCAAAACAATAAGCATGAGAAATGGGCCACAAAGAAAGTTATGACCCAAACCACAGTCTCGAAAAAGGGAGGAAGAGCAAGGTAGTAGAATTGGCAGGAGATGATGAAGGAACAGCAGAAGGGGGAAACAGTAGGGAGAGAAAGTTCTCTGCTGGAGAGAATGTGTAGAAATCAGTTTTGTCTGGCACAACTTTTCCTGCAGTTCGTTCCAAGTATCGTAGTTTCGTAGAAAATAGGAAAGATTACTTTGTTCTCTCCATGGCATTGTGTGAACTTTGGACCACTGTGGCACTTCCACTGTGGCAGCAGTGGGAACTCTCGCTCTCTCACTCGCTCTGATAAGCCATGGCTTGGAAAGATAAGTGGCCTGTGGTCGAAATACTCGGCGGGGGAGTCAGAACACTCCATTTGCCGTGTGGCTTAAAGCTGAACAACACTTTTTCTTGTTCGTTTCTGAGAAATTTTTAGCGTTTGATGCGAATACAAATTATATTTTAAATTCTACATCGTATAATAATCATCCTTAACATCATCTTTGAATACTCTCTGAACATTTTCCCCAAATAATAATCATATCTCAACCTCTTTACCCGTTTAATAATCAACTTTGAACCTCTCTCTCTCTCTTTCCTTTTTATTGGCTTTCTTCTTTTTCTGCTTTCTCTTCCCAGGATTTTCTCACGTCTTATTGAATTATTAAGCCATTCAAAGGCGTTTCCCCCCTTTAATCTCCTAATTAACTCAATTGACGCCTGCCTTTGGGTTTACCTTTAAGTGAAAGTCGAGGGCCATTGTCCTTCCACTGTTTTGGGGCAACAATATTTCCCATTCACTTCTAATCTGACCCCCCCACAATATTTGTAATTAATGCCCTCGCGTTTTGACAGCTACAATTGCTGGCTTCCACTGCCACTGCCACTGCCATTTCTACTTCCATGCGACTGTTAATTCTGGCTGTTAATTTTATCCGTTGCTCAATTAAATATGAATTCCCCAAGCAAAAGTTTTGGCCTTTCTAACTCTCTTAGAAACGCCTCATTAAATGCAGCAGTGGGGAGCACCAGCAGCAGATGGAGGCGGTAGGCCAAAGATGGAGACTTGAAGAAAGAGGCGGATACTGTAGACTGTAGGCTGGAGGCAGAAGGCTCGCCCTCATAAACACATTTTATCGAAAGCAGTTAAGGCGAACGAACGGCACACCAAAAAATGGGAAAAAAACTTTGGCAATTATTGGAACGTGCTGCGACTTCAGAAGGAACGAAGGAACCGAAAGATTCAGAAGAGATTCGGAGACCTAAAAGTAGGAGGTGGCATATCATTTCGACTATGGGATATCCTTTATACTATCCTTTCTGTTAGATATCTAGCGAAAAATTTTGGAAATTAATGCCAAAAGGAACTTTATTTGTTTCATTCTGTCTTTAATGTTAAATCGATTTCAATGCTCAAGCTCTAAAAACTTTGCATACTTATTTCGATTATTTAAGAGCCGAAAATATGGTTATAGCGTTATCGTTTTGATTTTTGTATTCTTTTCGAAAATAAATGTACTTTATGGGAATGTTAAAGCCTTCGTCTTGTTCTCCACTTTTGAGACATTAATGTCACATACAGGGTATCAAAACTATGCATTATGTTACCAAACGAATGCACCAGCTGCTGTCTCTCACAAAATGTCTTTAATTTCACTTTCATCACAGATTTACAGAGGTTGCTATGAGATTAGTGGCTATGTTAAGTAGCTACTTTCTTTTCTATTGTATTTCCATTTTTTCAAGATTTCTACAAGAATTTCACTTAACATTTTCGAGAGAATTCCCTCAATTTCTGCATTTAAATTAGCTCTAAAATACACTCGAAACAATTGACTAAAGATAACATAATTATGATTCGTTTTACGCTCTGCGCCTTTGAAGCATGAGGGCCCTTTGGTAAGCCATTTTCCTGGCCTCTGCTTCCTGGTAGCCGCTCCAAAACTTTTCATATGAAATTGATTGAAAAACTTTACACAGCGAGAGAAGCGAAAAACTGCTGTTCAGTGCTGCTCTTCAAAGAGTTGTATGATGGTGAGAGACCTTCAACGCGTTGGTAAAACTCTGCACTGAGTGTGGCATGCGGGGAGACGCCTCCACGTGAAACGAGATTCCTCTTGCAACGAGCTCGAAGCCTGTGCCTTGCTTCTGAAAGGGCCCAGAGGCTCGTGCGTTGGCAACCGAATGTCATGGCAACGCGTGCGGGTCCGGTCCTCTGGCTTTTCCTCTCTGGTTTTTTTTTTTCCCACAGAACATGGTGCAAGAAGAGGCGCTTAACTGGTGTGGGGGGGGAGGGTTCTTGGAGCCCTCTTGTCCACCCATTTGCATAATGGATTTGTCTACAATTAGCCACGCCAGCTGTGCCACTGCCACACTGACATGACTTCCACAGCACTGTGTACAGCATGGAAACCAGACCCTGGGGGGGGCTGCCTGCAACAGCAGCAGTTTTTCATTCCTTGCCACATCTCATATGCGTCCAGGGAAAGGCGCTTCAGCACTAATACCTGCTGCCTGCCTTGCAACCTAATTGCTGACCGGCTTTAAAATACAGTGCGCTACAAAAGTCAACCACTTAACCGGAGAACACATCTCATAGCTAATCCGGATAGCAGCCTCACAGTCTAGCCATCTAATGAGCCTCTCATTAACGTAATTACGTGATGTTGTTTGCAGTGTCAGGGGTAATAACTGTGGTACGAATTCATACTCATCGTATGCTTCTGGTTCTTTGTGTGTGTGTGAGCTGCACGCGCCATTTGCTGCACGCGCCATTTGCTTCACTTGCCTCATGCCACATCAAAAGGACAAGCTCTTTGTGCGTGAAGAGCTAAGCAGATTGTTTGCTTCGGTTGTTTGCTTGTATGTTGACTGGGAAACTAATAGTACTTCAAATATTTTAAGTTTAAGTCCACTTCACTTCAAAAGTTCAATTTCTGGGGGGGAAAAGATTCACAAGAAGTCAAAGATTCACCTTTACAGGATGAAATTGAGCTCAAGCTAATCTTTCTTCAACAACAGATTAAATAAACTGAATAGTGTGTGTGTACTAAAACTTTAAAACCCATAATCATTCAACCAATAAACCCCCAAAGTAGAAATATTTATGATCAAAGAAATAATCGAACACAAAACTTTAAGCATAATCCACAAATCAATTAATAGAGCAGAAGTCTTTAGGCAAGTGCACTTCGATGTGATTTATAGAGAAAGTTTTTAATCAGAGTCACTAAGTATCTAATCATCTTTATAGATTGTGTGTGCCGGATTAATCAGCACTCAAATATACTCGCATTTAACATCCGCACCTGCTGCTGCTGCCAGAAACTGATTCTACTGTTGCTGTTGCCACAGACACACACGTGGACGTGGCTCCTCCGATATAGTTGCAATTAAAGTTAATGGCAGGACATTCGACCAGTGACTGAAGGCCGAGCACCAGCCTAATGTCCTGTCTAAATAATTCAGAAATAATCCTGCTTAATGTTACGGTCTAGTCTGTCGTTCTGGTCTGGCGTTCGCTTCGAACTCCTGTTCGAAATTGAAAATTACATACATTGGGATATTCAATCCTTGTCAAATTACGGCCGGCAATAGGAGGTCGTGGCAGGCAACAGTCTGTGGCAGTGGCAACATCTGTCCCAAAAGCCAGGCTTACATATAATTGGTTTTTACCCCGCACCACCACCACGAACAGCAGCCGCAGCAGCAGCATCAGCTTCAGCAGCTTCTGAACGATTTTTCACTGTAAATATTGCTGCCACTGCCACTGCTGCTGCGCTTTTCATGTAACTGTCAATTGTCGGACGACTGAGATTTCCTTTCGGTCAACAGATTTGTTCACCTCTCTCTCTCTCCCTCTCTCTCTCTACGACTTTGGCTTTAATGTCACGCTCCAACGGCTTAAACGAAGCGAGTCCTGTCTGTGTGTCCCGGCTCCTGTTCCCCGATGCATTACGTTTGACCACGAAATGCGAAATGTGCTCTAGCGCTTTGAAGTTCATCTTTTGGTTTTGCTCTGTTTCTGTTCCATTTTTCCCTGAGAATTATGAATGTTTTTTTTTTGGTGATTTGGGATTTGGGATTGGGGATTTTGTTGAGTTGAAAATAACTTAAAAGTTATGTCATTTGTGGCAGCAGTGGGATTTGGCGAATTCTTTAGCGAATATTTCTCTTTTTGCAGGGCAAGGCTAAGAGATATTTGTGTATTCGTTTACATTTCGTTTAACTTAAACTTTAAGTTCCTTTGTTTTTCCTCTTCTTTTGCAGCTTTAAGTCACGAATATTCACCACTAATTTCCCCCAGACGCTAATGCCATTTCATTAGCTTAATTTTGGGTGCGAAAGAAATGCCTTTGAGCGGTGAAACGGCCACCTAAAAATTGTGTGTTTGATGTAAATAATTAACAAGGTACATAATAATAGGGAATGGGGAAGCCAAAGGGAATGGGGAAGCCAAAGGGAATGGAAATGGGTAGTCTCAATGCCTATACCAAAAGCCGAAAATGTTTCCTGCTTTATGGCAGTGGCAGTGGCATTGGCAGCAGGAAATGCCACAAAACAGAAAAAAAGAAAAAAAACCTAACCATTAACGTTTGGTAATTGACTGAAGGTTAACGTTTTTCCCCTGGCCATAAATTAGTCAAAAATTGTTGCAGGTGGTATGGCATCTCCCATGGAATTTCATGGACGAAGGAAAAACTATGGAAACACTTGACTTCCCGCTCTCTGACTTTTTCACTCGTTAAACCTTTGCCTGACTTTTGCGCTCATGTTGCAAAGTCTTTCGACAGCAGCAGCAGCATTTTGAATAAAATATTTGCATGCTTTAAAATTGTTTGTAGCAGCAGCAGCAACAGCAGCAGAAAAGTCTCTCTCTCTCTCTCTGGGTATTAAATAATATATTAATGCAATTTTCCGACAATTAGCAGATGCCATGAATTTTTTTGTTAAATATTTGATTGAAAATTGACAGAGATTGAAGAGGAAAGAACATGGCAACCGGCAGGACATTTCTCTCATTACTAATTCATTTTATATTCACTTTCCGTTTTCGGTTGAAAATGCAACTAAAATTAAATTCTTTTTCAATTGGAAATTCCTAACATTTCAAAGTCCATATATATTTGCTGTGCCATTTTAAAAAAATTTTCGCCGCATGAATCTCATCTTTCAAGTAAATCAGCAAAGGTAAGCCGATACATAAATAATATTTCCATTGAATTTCCTTGATATTTGATAAGAAGCAAAAATGAAAAAAAAATAAAAACAAAGAGTGTCAAAGGTACAGAGAAAATTGCAAGAAAAGCCAAGGTGTGACAGTTGAAAAGATACGTTAAGATACGCCACAAAAGAAGACAATTTTCCAGCGAATTTTCCACTTGATTGAATTAATGCTATGGCCATTCTCTGGGCCATTTTATATAGTTTATGGTTTGAAAATAGTTTTCTCTCTAGTTTATTCGCATATTTTGTGGCAATTTGATGGCACAATGAAAGCTGCTTTTTGTGGCCAAAACAAGCAGAAGCCACAGGCTTGCCATCCATCTATATCGTTCGATCAAAATGCTTGCCACAAGCTCTCAAGGCTACTGCTGCCACTGGAGTACTTCGTTCCTCAATTTGCATACATGTTGCGCCGTGCAACAAGCTGCAGGAAGCATTTAGCAAGCAGGTGAGAGGCAGCCACGTCTAACAATAAATTTAACCTCGCCTCCCCAGTCAGCGTCATTTTTAACACCTGTCAGGAAGCTGAAGCAAGAAATCTCGGCATGCCATACTCCCTACCCCTTGGGGCATTGGCAAATGTCTGCTCGTTATAGTTCACATTGTTGCCTGCCACTTATGGTGGCAATGTGTGTGTTTCTGTGTGAGAAATCTGTCCTGAGCTGAAACTTTAAATGGTCCCCCGAATGTTCTCCGTGAGTGGATACAGTGGAAACTTCATGCGTCTCTTGGGACATCTTTTGAGGGGATAACTTTACTGGAAAATCCTCACCTGTACAAATACAGGAAATTCCCTTAATTAATCAGATTCTGGTCCTCGGATTGAACAACAAATAAACGGACAAAATAAAGGAAAACAAAGGACGTTACAGGTCAAATACAAGAATCCACAAGTTTTACTGAAGAACAAGTATTCCTCTTCGACTTTTCCCTCAAGAAAAAAGTATTTACGAGTACCTTAGAGAAAAAGTTTCATTTTTCTTTCAGGCTGGAGGAGACCCCTTTCTCCCAAGAGTAAAAGAGATTGCAAGGCATAGTGCGTATATGTAACAATTAACGGGCGGCTTAATTAAAGTTCCAAGGGAAAAAGGACACTGTCATGACAACACATCGCTGCTGTCCAGCACCAGTTCTTGGGGTCATCCGCAGCACCATCCTTTAGCTTCTCATTTTCGTTATTTTCCTGTAGGAAAAAATTATAGGAAAAACCAGAAGGCAAAGCTTTCGAATTTTCACTTAACTCTAAAGTGCTATTCGAGCAGATTTTTCGAGCACCCAGAAGGACTCTTTTCGTTGGCCGCATCGGTGGCATTGCTTATTACGCATACCAGCCGCGTGCCGCATGCCGCCGCATGCGGTGCCGGGTCGCGTGCGTTGCCGCGTGAGGACGCTGGCAATTTGCCAAAATATAAAGAAGATTTCATAAAAAAAATGAATAAAAAACGCAAAAAAGGAAAGAAAAATTTTGTGCAAAAAAGAGAGATACAAAACGAAAGGAAATTTTGTAGGGTAACGCAAACTCCTCAGTCCTACCCTTTAGTTCTTAAACTTTGAATATTCATAGCGATTGGTTTAATTTTATTTATAGTCGTCAGTATTTATTTTAATGTGAATTTTGTTATATTTGTTATAAAAGTCAGAAAATTCCAGGGTAATTTCAAAAGATCATTTCTAGATTCATTCGGTTCTTTAGCTCATAATTTTCCCAGAGCATTACTCATTCGACTTAGCTTGAGCACAACTCTTCTGCAATTTCTTTTATATTATGCATTTGCAGCAGCGTCGATGATAACCTTGGGATTACACAGTAGCCAAAGAAAAAGGGAGCCAAACAAATATGAGAAAATCTCTGCCATGTAAGCGATTTGGCGATGGTACTCGAGCACACTCGAGCACACTCGAGTCTCCCCCGGTCTCATCACAATCAGTGGCCTCCTCCTCCTCGCCTACTATCGCCTTGGGTTGTATCCTTTGCTCTTTCGGGGTTTTTTTTTTGGGGCTTAAGCGTACAAATTCCTAGTGTTAAAAGTTCCATAAATCACAAAAAAAAAAAAAACAGTTTCATTTAATGCGACCCCTGCATAACGCTTTTATATCTCCCTGTGTCGTCTGTTTGTGTGTGTTTCATCCAAAGAATAACTCAACAGTTAACAGTTAAAAAAAACAAAAACAAGAACAAAAAACATTTTCAAGGTTTGCATCTTAACAATGTGCAGAGCCCACCTCGGGGGAGCTGCTGGAACGGCTCAAATTGTTGGCACTTTCCGCAGCAGCAGCAGCAGCAGCAGAGGCATGACCATGCACCGTCTCCAGCGCACTGTCGCTCTGTGCCACAGGTTGCATGTCCTCATACTCGTCCTGATCGGAATCCATGTCGCTGCCCGCTTCCAAGGACGCAGACGAGCCCCAGGCACTCATTATCTTGCCCTTTGACTCGCGCCAGATCGAGAACAGACGCTCACGGCCAAAGGCCTGCAGAAAGGCATTGAGCAGATCGCGCGACTTGGCCTCCCATCTGGTCAACAAATCGATCTTCACCCTCTTGCCGCGAGTCTTCAGCTCGTCCATTTTGTTCTGAAAACGGAACTTCTTCTCGGAGAGAAAAGAGACATTCAGCTCCTTGGCGGTGTAGCCGCGTGCCAGATTTCGGCGCACAAACATATCGTAGTCCTTGACGATGCGTGCCACAATGTCCGAGGTGGACACACCCGGCGTACGTTCGGTGGCCACAAACATGCCGCGTTCCTTCAGATGGGCATAGATGTCGCCCACCCCCCCAGAACCACCATAGGGTATATCATCGTGGGCCACAAAATCAATTTTATGTTCATTCAGGAACTCATCAGTGAGTGTCCAGGGGGCATTGGCAACAATCTGTGGGACAGATCGATCGATTGATCGGTGGTGAGATCTTCTGTGGATCCATCATTCATCGGCCACTCACCTCGTCCACGTAGCGACAATGGCGCACTGCCTCGTAGCGCTCAAAGCCATTCATCACGGTGCGACCCTTCATTTTGAGCGTCAGCTCGTTGCTGCAGACACCCACAATCAGATAGACATTCGGAAAGAGATTCTTCGCCTGCATCAGCTGGCGGGCATGGCCCTGATGGAACAGATCATAGATACCATCCGCATAGACGCGCACGCGACGCTTCGATTGTCCCGAACGAGCCATCTCGTGTGTGATGCGCTCTGTGTAATCGCAGGCGTTTAGCTCCTCCAAGGCCTGCGCATCACTGGCATAGGGACACGGCTTGCTAAACGGCTGAATGGGCATAGGAGGGGAAAAGGTTTCCTTTCAGCATTGGCAATGGCACACGGACTGCTCTCCCTTGCTTACATATTTGTCAAAATTCAAATCATATAGTGGCAACGTTGGGTGTTCCTCTATAAGGACCAACTTTGGCTCTGAGTCCTGTGCATCGTTATCCCCCAGCTGTTGATTAATTTGCCCTGATGCCGACAATAGCGAATGCGTTCCATTTCCGGATGATGATGGAGAGTCGGGTTCGATCATTGTGTTTTATTTATTAATATTTAGAAAAATATTGTATTTAATTTTTAGAAAAAATATATGAATTTCAGAGAGCTACAGAAAAATTGAATCATTCAGTACGCTTCCAAATGGTTGACTGAATAATACGTATACACAAATCTGTATCTTTTCTACACCGAATGATCGGCACACTGCGATGGGTATTAAATTTCAGGTCGCCCGTAAGTATGAGAAAGGAGCATCAATGCCTGCAAATACAGCAGATGGGCATTACATCAAAGGTACACTTATCCAGAGGCTATATAGTATAGACTAGCCGCTTTTGCAAGTCAGTTTTGTCTCTTTTATGTATATACAAAAAAAATAATAATAAAATAATGAAGATATTGTTTCAATTGGTGACTTAAATCGATTTAAGTATTCCTATTTTCTTAGGAAAAATGGTCTTCGAGGCACCAAAGTTTCATCATTTTCTGTGACAACAAAACAGGCAACAGAGTCCTTTCCTGTGATGTCCAATGCGAAAGGCAAAAACAGATATCGACAGTAAACAAGGCACCGCAACAGCAGCAGCAACAGAATCAGCCTAATGGAGTGGCCAACAACTCCATCCATGGCCCTCCTCCCTTCCTGTGTCGTTTCTCTTAATGGAATTGCTGCGGAGACAGGAAGAACAATACTCGTACCAAAAACAAAACAAAAACAAAGGAACATTTAGTAGAAAATTTGCATAACAACTTCCGCTTTCAGTTTTTTCTGTGTGTGCCCCTCGCCTGTATTTCTGTTGTTTTGCTTTTGCCATTTTATCATTGTTTCCCTGCTCCCCTGCCCCATGCTCATGTTGCTATTCCCCCGCTCTTCTTATTTACCTGTTGGAGCCACGCCTCCCATCCCCCACCGCTCCCTGTCTGTATGTGCCTGTGTGTGTCTGTGTACATTTATTTTCCCCGCTATCTGCGGATGCAGACCGAAATGTAATTTGCACTAGAAAACTAAATTCCACGTCGTGCGGTGAACGATGTTGAAAGAGCAAAAGAGAGAAGAGAACACCAGACCGTAAAACATCATCAAATTTTGAATAGCCGTGCGGGATACATACAGGCGGATACAGCAATGATATGTGCCACACACACACATGCACTCATAGAAACATCCCTCCCCCACACACCCCATTGAGGGGAGTGTCGAACATTTCTGCACTTAATTTGTTAGCTTCGGCGCTAAGTCGCTTAATTTATATTGTACATTTTTTGGCATTACGCTCCAATTTCACTCCCAGTGGGAAACTGTTGTCCAATATTTGCTGTTGGCTCTAATTTGGAATATCCCCTACCATTTGCAGGCCTGGGCCAATATGCCCAATATAGCGAGGATTTAATGAGTATTACGTAATTAGAAATAAGACTGTTTACGCGAATTTAAATTCATTGAAATGTGGTTCAAATGTGTGCTCCCCAAGCAAATTAATGAATTTAATTGCCTCAAAGAAAAGATGGATATTTTAATTAGAGCATAAATCTGGAGAAATTATGGTTGCTTAAAAAATTAAAATAATTCTAAAGACAAAGCCCCAAATCTTCACTGGAAAAGTTCTGCTAAGCCAACTCTATTTATTTTGCATAAGTAACCACGGAAATTACTTAACAAGAGACAAGTTCTGCAATCCCAACTAAAAAATAAAACAACTAACTAACAAAATCTAAGAAACAAAAGACAACACACAAATCCTTGCTCCATTTACCTTCCATAACAAACATAACAATTACATCTTACCCTCATTTGCCCCCCTCTAGTACCCTCTAAACACTTCAATTACGCCAAAAGAAAAATCCTCCCTCTTTCAGGATAAAAATCCAAACGAAAAACCAACCTGCTGCGATTCACAGCAGCATTTGTTTTGGGGCATAATTCTGCATAAATCGCATTGATTGCCAGCGATTTGTAGCTGTGTCCGAAATTGGACTGTGGGGCCGCCATAAATAATGATTGCATTTCCGATTTAAAAAATCTACGGACTAAAACGGTATCTTATTAACATAAGCCTCTACGCCACTTCGCCACTCTGCAGATAATCGCAGGACTTAGACGAGGATAGCAATCCTTGCAAAAACAAATAGAAAAATGCCGAGCGACATCGATGGCGACAGCGATAATAAAAAGGGGGAAGCAGGAGGAAAACGAATCGTTGAACTTCGCTCGCAAATAAATGCTGCTGTTGCTGCTGCTGGCAGGTGCCACACGAAGGAGCACGAAGGATGTCGAGGATGTGGAGGATGTAACCATAAAAGTTTCTTACTGCCGGTAGTTGGTCCGGACATTTACGGGCTGGACATGCAAACACAAGCTCCTCCACTGCGTGTCAGTTGATCCAACGATTTGTTGCCTGCCTTGCAATTTGCAGTCCTCGAATTTTTCCCACCCGTTTTGCTCCTTGGGAAAAGCGGAAGAGTAAACCGGCAGCTCTTTGCCCCGAAAGTTGAGAACAAAAGAAAACAAAAAGTAAATTAAAATCGTTGCAATGCTTCGCCCTAGGATTGCAATGCACTGGCGAGGCTACTACTTTCCCCTTGGCTGGGTGTCGTGTCCGTTTTCCGGCCCAAGGAGGGAAGGGACTTTCAGAGCCAAGAGGAAGAAGTAGTGGACAAGTTCTTGATCTTCGGGCCAAGTCAGGTGTCAAGGTGTCAGGTTGTGTCATCGCACGGGGCCTTAATTAAAGTTGTCGCGTGGCGTTTACCTTTTTTTTGGGGGGTTGAGACGAAAAACTATCTTTGGACAGCAGTCTACTTAATATCAATTAACTTTTACTGCCAGTGGCAGCAGCAGGACATCGCTTTCCAGACTGATTATAATTACAATTTTCCGCTAATTGGGCAACCCAAAAACTTGGCCAAAACACTGCATCCACAAACTTCAAAGAAAATGCAGGAAAACTTCTAAGATGCGGAAAATGCAGCGAGAAATCTGACTTCTAAAATGGTGGAGAAGCTGGGAAAACTCTAACTCTAAGTAGCGGAAAAATGCACTGAAAACTGTAACTTCTAAGCTGCGGAAAATGGCAGGAAAAACTCTGACGTCTAAGATGGCAAAAACCTTGCTTAAAGTTGCTGTACTGGGGAAAATGATAAAGATGCCTGCGTCCTTAAAATCAATTGAAAATGAATTGTCCAACAATGAAAAAAAAAACTTGTGATGTCTGGCGGCATGTTTTCCGAGAATTATGCAGAAAAACAGAAGCTAAAGATGAAAGAGAAAATTCTCTAATGGAAAATGAAGTTGGAATTTCAACGAAAATTCCGATAAAATCAATAATCTTGGAGTATTTATTTCAATCATTCAATGACAAGTACAAGTCTCAACTTACTTACTGGCACGCTTGCAAATTAAATACGAGTATCTTTCAGGTTATATTACACCTAATTCAGTGTGGAAAATACCCCCCAGGCTGTTGTATCCTCTGCTGCTCCTTTGTTGTATTTAAAGTGCCATTAATTTACATAAAATTCACATAAAGTGCATTCTCAGAGACTGTCGAGAGAGGATTAAGATTCAGAGACGTTCCGAGTCTCTTATTGAATCATTCATTAAACATTCAAAATGAAGCCAAAAAATTCCATTTGCATTTTCCCCTAAATGGCAGCTCCATGCTGGCAAACTATGCTTAGGAAAATCTGAATATTTGTTGAGCTAAATAAACGGAGGAAAATCCACAGAAAGAGAAAGAGACAAAGCACAAATTTTGTCTCTTACTTGCTCATGTGAGGCAATCAATTGCGAATCAAAAGTGTAAATAGATTCCAAATTTTTCACCCAATTAATTTTCCATTTGGCATGGAAATTGATTTTACGTTATGACAATTAGAGAAAGTTGAAGAAACAAAGAAAAAGGGAAACAAGAGAGTGCCATGCCAAAAGGCAAAACTTTGATGTGTAGATATGGGACTTAAATCTAACGCTTTTCGAATCTCTATCGATTGGACATCCATCGAGTACATTTCTCTTAAATTCTGGGCATATGGATAACCTTTAACCTCCTCTTGGGGCATCCTTTTTCAGCTGAAAAGGCACTCAAAATGAGCCATAATTAGTGGAGTCTTTTTTTTTTGTTTACCAATTAATTGTAGAATATTATGGTAATTGCTAATAAAAGCCCAACAAATTCGCTTTCTTGGCTTGGAGCTGTTTTTCTTTCATTTTCTCTGACCCCCAAAATCTTGGCTTATCATTTGCTTGGGTATTTGCACAGGGCCTAGGACCGAACAAGGATTTGCTGCCCATTAAAATCTAAATTAAATGCTTTGATTTTCATCGGTCAGTGGCCATAAATTTAATGACTTGCCTTCTGGCTTCAGATTTACTTTATTTATGAGGCTTCAAACCCAATCCCCGTCCCTGAATCTGGTTCTGATTTCTGGGGAGATTTTCTTAATTAGATTATTTGTTGGCCACGTTTACGAGGGGGGGGGGGCCAGCATTTTATGACACATTTAATGAACAGCCAACAGCCATCGAGCGAGCAAGGCAGCAGCTGATCGATGGTCTTATTTGCCCCAACACAAAAACCGCAATCATTGCGCCCCCAAAACGAATCAATTTAGAGTCCTAGGCCCCCAGTGCATCCACCAGCCATCGACCACTAACAAAATTATGGCCTGGTGGTGGGCTCTGATGATGGAGAAAATCATGTGGCATGTTGTAGTGCGTGCTGCATGTGGCAGTGGACGATGTGGAAACCCCATTCATTGGTTACGCACAAAATGTTGGCCATAATCTTGTAGGCAGAGAGCCCCTGCGTGTCCCAAAAGCTGATTAATGCTGATTAAGGGATAAATGTGGAAATGGAAAGCGAAGTAAGTTTTTAATTTTATGAAAATCAGAGGAAAATCATATAGGAAATGGATAGATTAGAAGCAGGAAATGTATGTAAACGATTGAACAAAGGAAATGCTAACCATTTAAGGGTCACTTTTGGAGATAAATACATGGGAAAAAAACAAAGCGATATTTGAGGGGAAAATTACTTCGTTTTGAGAAGCGAATTTTGGACTGAAATGATGGGAAACCACATGAGAAATTCCACTAAATAAGGAAATTTATTTTCTATAGAAAATTAGGTAGAAAAATCCTATATAAAGTAAAGGAT